TGACGATTGGCTTCTTGCCTGCGACCGTCGCCAACACTTTGAAGCTTTTGTCGCGCTTCTTCAGAACTCCACGATGCTGGTGACGATTAGATCCACGTCGTGGTGAAGGCGGAGGAGTTGAGGGTCGGCGCCTGCCAATACCTGGACGGCAAGGACCTGGTTTCATAGGTTGCTTGTGCTGCACTCAGAGGACGTGCCATCTCCCTACCTGCCTGGCCCCGCCACAACGTTGCAGCCGCCTTTGAGTGAGAAGCAGGAGGAGAACCAGCTCTCCTGGAGAAGAGGCACCTCCCGTGACGACCAAGAAGCTGGAAGTTACCGAATGTACACTAACCAGCACCGACGGTTCCAATTGAGAATGTCTGCACGCTACTGATCGGCGAGAACATGTACCCTCTGGCCGGAGCTTCATTTCTCTGCAGCAGGCATAGCCCGCCCTAGACATGAGACAACAACAATGCTGGAAACTGAAAACAGATCTCTAAACTAACGGACCCTGCGGCCAGTAAATGCAGCACTGATGGGGTCATAGCTGCTTAAATAACCGCAGTGCAGCAGATTATGATGCGTCTGAAGTCTGCATAAAGGGAAAACCACCAGTCTTCCATCATTAGAAAACAGCCCCTGAACTCTTGCGGAAATGAGGGGCTGCCTTCTTCCCCTCGTAGAGGAAGTACGCAGTCTGGTTGAGAGCCCAAACATAACTCGATGCCAAGAGGACACGAGTCGGTAGCTGAAGGAGCCTGCTTTAGCGCATGTAGTTCTAGTGTTCTTTTCGTGGTGGTCAGGCCGACTTAAGGGTCTTCTGAGCCAATCTCCGATTCCATGGATGCAGGAGGATATTTCTCCTTCCGTGAAGCGTCCCGAAACGAGAAGTGACCACTCACTTCCATCTGTGGTGGGTTATTATGTGACGCTGCCAGTATCTGGATTATATTGCGTCAAACGGTAGGATGATTGATGAATTAAAAGGATTTCGAAAGAAGTGGTCCTAGCCTAATCGAAATATTATCCCTGCATTTGCCTGGAGGGACTAAGAAAACCGCTGAAAACCCGTAGTCTGTCTGAGATCCGAACCGAGCACCTCACGTATGTGAGTCTAGAACTTCGTGGTGCTGAGGCATGAGGACAGCTTTACCTTTCGTCATTTCGCTCGTGTTTCACGAGAATGAGTGCCGCATATTAGATATGCTTTACTGTACTGCAGAGCCAAGAATGGACAGACATAGGAAGAGAAATAGTTGTAATTACATATGGTTCACCTCGACCAGGACTGAGCCCTTGGCCTCTCATTTTGAAGTGATTGCACGACAGCTTGTAGGCCCATGTGCTGAACAAGAATTTGCAAACCCCGAGGGTGCATTGGCCCCCAGCCAAACAAGGTGTCTCAACACTGCAAGGACATTGAAAGAGGCCAAAACGTTTTTGGCTCATTGACTTTGGTTTAAACTTGGCTTGGTAAGTGGTCTCTGCCTGTGAGTCTAACCATTTGGGAATTTAATAATGTTTGATATTTACTTGTCTAGAAGGTCGTCGGATAATTAGGCTTTCTTTACATAGTGAAATAGAATGTATGTGCAAGTCATGTCTGTCTGTCTATGACCTAATGCAGCATCTAAACAATTGGATAGATTTTTTAATTCATTATTGGAAACTGACTGAAACGACTATACGTTTTTCACATACATTTCTCCTTTATTCTGCCCACTTTATTTAGGGACATAAATGGATTTTTTCATGTCCGTCATATACTGTTAATCAGATATTAATGAAATTTCATATGAGAGATCTTTTTTGATGTCTTAGTTGGCCACTTTTACTTTAGTTGACCACTTACAGAGCTGCTTGTACATAATGCCACACGTAAGCTTAATAAAGTGAAAAGAACACCGTTGGAAATTTTGTATACTACATTATTAAGTACATCCTTTACAGTCTTGTACCTAATGATGGTCATATTTTTGTGGTTGTGCCTTTTGAAGGAGTTCTTGTAGTAGGCATGCTGTGCTTCGAATAAATATTACTTATGTCGTCTATATTACAGGGGTTGTAATTTGTCAATACGTTTAAACAGTTAGCAAGCCGTACGCAAAGATTCCTCACACAGATTTTCAACAAAATTTGATTAACTGTTAGTGAACTTATGAGTCAGTATGGCAGAAAATCGAAATTTTAGATCTAACAGATTAATATTTTAGGAAATGGTATTAAGCGACAAGTAACAGACACAATATGAATTGCCAGCAATATTCGGAGTAGCTATACTGAAAATGCACACTGGGTAACAAGCAATAAGATATATAAAACACCCATATAGTTTTAGGCTTGTGAAACTCGTAAGTCAGGGGAGAAGAAGAAAGCGAGGAATGTTTGGCCACAAGTTCGAATGTGGAGGGAGCAGGAATTTAAAGGCCAACGAGGTGGCTGAACAAGATCTCGTTACTATAACCATACGCTGTGGACTGTTATTAAATGTGTAGGCACGCATTTGAGCTCCACATGTCATGTAGTATTTTGACTTACTTTTGACACACCTAGACACACTGCCTTAAGAAGGAGTTCTGTAATCGATGCCTCCTACTGTCGTAGCCCTCAAGGGGATGAAGGCGAAAAATGGCCGAACTGCAGTAGTGGTAGCTCACACCGCTGGTAATTAAAGTGGGCGGAAACTACCATTCACTGCTTTAGTATTGAGTCAGAGTGAGCTTTCGTGTAATTGTTTTCGTTTGAATGTAAACGTGACCAAATGTTTACATGAAAGGTTATGTAGCATCCTTTTACAGACCGTACGTCGCAATGTAATGGTTAGCACATATATTTCGTATGTGAAAGTCCGTATTTAGACTCTCGACTTTGGAATGGAATTTGGAATCCAAGACTTTTCCAGCTTCTACGATTTGAGGTTCTCACGCCTGTGACTATGAAGCGTGATGTCTGTAGACCGGTAGAAGATTCTCAGTGTTGCGGAGGAACGTCGGGAAACGTCTTTTCGATTACAAGGCGTATACAGTGCACAGCACCGATATAGCACTTTATTTCATTTCCACATGAACTGTAAAACATTAAAAAACGTAGATAAACGAAAACGTAACGAAGTATGAACAGTATTGTGAGCATAGTTTCTGTAGACATAGGCCCACGGTAGCATGCACATAGAACTTTGCAGTCGTTTATGTTTTATTCTGGAAAATGTTTTCTCCTGAACCCAAGTGTCGGAAACTCGCACAACAACCATAGAAAATAGGAGATCATTGTTGTGGACGTGTTTGTGCAATAATGTTCGGCCCACACCTGCTTCTGAGTCATCTTGGCAGGGGGAGGCGTTGCGTAACCACATCCTAATAATAATTAACCTTGGCTGGCCTGCCCGCACGGGTGCTTTGACTTGACTGTGTGGCCCAGCTGGTACGAAAGGAGAGTTTAGATTTTTCTCGGACTAAGGGATCGTGAATGGCTCGAATATGCAATTATTGTTGTATGTGGCATGATAACATCTTGAGAAGAAATAAGTCTCTAGGGCCGTACACAGCAAGGTTGTCACTGCATCGGCCTGGCTTCAGTCGGGCGGGGGGGGGGTCTCTCAGGTGACGTGACAAGAATTCGGATTGTCATATTGGAGGCCTGAGTGCAATATTAGAGCGGCAGAGGTCGTTCCAGAACTCATTCAGTGAAACGCCAGATTCCCGCTGCAGAGGTCGGGGTTCAGTCTGACAAAGGGCATGTGGAACGTGTAGAGCGAGAGAATGTCGCTGTGACAGGGATTCAGCCACTAATCACTTCACCGATACTCGCTGTCTGTCACTAGCTCCTTAGTTGTGCGATAGACGTTGCCAGCTAACACGATATCACATCCTTAGTTGTTAGCGGGATACATCAGCTTGGCTAGACTCCGGTTTGTAAGGGGGTAAGGTAAAGTGTAAAACTATCCCTGTACCAGGTCGTGAAGCCTCATAGGGTTGTGAGACGTCGAGGGTTCGCATTTTCTCTAGACAGTCGGCTCACAGGTGGCGGTAAGTTTGTCAGCCTTACGCGCTGGCCACCCTTTCCCCCCTGGAAGATTTCTGGTACTCATTTCTGTTAGAGGGTGAGTTGACCTCAGGGCCACAGTGCGGCTGGAAGGATTAGGTCAATTGAAAAAATCCACCTCATCGGGACTCGAATTCTCGACCTTCCGGTTTGTAATATAGTGCTTCAACCAATTATGCTACCGCAGGCCTTGTAAGGGGGTAAAGGTGCAGTTTTATAATGGTTGGTCGATTGAGGAAGAATTATATGGAATGGTTCTTCTTGAGAGGTTGGCAATCACACAGCTTGTAAATAATTTTCCTGCCATTTCTGGAGTCTGAAAGTTCATTTCCATGTTATCAAGGTCCCACTTTTAGCCCTGGTCTTGACTCAGATAAATCTAGTCCATGCCTTTTGACCCAGTTCCTTTCAGATCAGTTTTAATATTATCATCCCAATTGTACATAGGGCTCCCAAATAGTCTCTACGCTTCAGATTTTCCAACCAAAATTTTGTATTCATTCGCATGGATTGAGTGAGGAACCACGAAAACTCTTGAGTGAAGACGTGCAGTCCGTGGGTCAAGATTCATCGCTGTAGTTCTCATAAATTTAGAATTAACAGTCACCCTTTTTAGCTCACTTGTCTTATTTCGGAAAAAGAATGAAAGAGTCTGTGAGATAACTTTGGTGTCTCTTTGTCTGTCGGCCCTACTCAACGTCATTGCTAGGCTACTGCTCAGTAGACATTTTACAACGGCAACAAATACACTCGCAAAAATGTGATAGCTGGAAGCAGTGTTCTCAATGCAGTCCATGTCATACCAAATACTCAATATGTGGCAAAAGCAAAGTTGATGATTAGTTCTCAGAAATTCTTGTTGACTTCTATGAAATACTGGAAAGTCAAGTCCATCTAGGCAGATTTTGTGTGACTAGCCATAACTGTATATACCCAGAAATGAACAGTAAATACACGTATGTCTGTTGTTTCAGGTCTCAACCTAGAAAACAGTCTGACCATCAGCTCGATGGGGCCCCAGTCTCCCCTTGATATGAAACCTGACACGGCCAGTTTGCTTGGCCCTGGCAACTTCAGCCCCACTGGAGGTGGAGGGGGTGGAGGTGGACCCAACAGTCCCAAGTAAGTGACTCATTTCAAGCACAGGGCCTTCTTCACTGTCTATCTACCTGGCTCACCAGGAGTAATGAACTGTTAAATAACTGCAATGGGCCAGCAAATGGACCATCTCATAGACAGCTTGATGATGCCACCTGGCCCTCCTTGAGCAAGAGCTTATTAGATACCTGCAAGCAAAATATGTGGTGTTGCAGGAAAGAAGGTTAAATGAGATATGTTTGTCATGAAATTATCCTTATTAAAACAAGTATAAACCTAGTTTTGTCACTAAACCACAAATACTTACCATTCGGTGGTGCAGTGAACTACAAAGTTAAGAACATGACTGTATAGACATCCACAGCTGTTTCTTCTTCTCCAAGAAAAGGGATGTTTGGTGATGACTTAACCCTTCTGTAACACCTCACAGATGGGCCAACAACAGCCCTAGTCATTGACAGTTTGATGGTAATCTCCACCTGGTGTTGAGTTTTTGTTGAATATCAGAATCAAGTCTATCCATGTATAAGTACACATAACAAACAGTAAAATAAAAGAGAAAAAGAAAGACAACCTGCATCAAAATGTAAACATTGAGGATCCTAGATACCGACAACTGTGGTGCACCCATGTGAAACTTCAGTTTATACCCTGAATATGTTAATAATGTTAATTCCAGTCCTACATATTGTTCTTCTTGGTACCTTATTGGTGTTGCTGGAAACTAATGGTAGGGGGGGGGAGTTTGCCTGCAGCACTTAATTTTGTTGAAATAGATGTGTGTGCACATGTGCGTGCACACACACAAATATGTACATGTTGATACAGTATTAAAACATTTTTAAAGAGTCTTAAATATCAAGTGGCATGCCCTATGTGTCAGAAATGAGAGGAAAATCTGGGAACAGTACAGGACGCCCAGTTTCGTTCATATGCTTCCATTGATGAAGTTGAAAGCAAGGAAGAGTGGGCAGTATATGTAAGTAATCCACTACCTACTTTCTACCCACCTTCCCTTCCCTTTCTTGCTGCCGATGGAGATATCCCCTGTTAGAATTCACAGTACAGTACAGTAACACACTGATAGGCTGTTTACAATTATCTGAGCATGTAATCAATAAATAAACGAAATACAAACAGTAAAAAGTAAGGTAAAGGTATCCCTGTAACGGGCCGTGGAGGCCCATAGGGTTGTGAGATGTTGAGTTTCCCACATTTTCTAAACGATCGGCTCATAAATGGTGGTAAGGTTGTCATCCCTATCCGCCGGCTGCCCTTTACCCCCAAGAATATTCCTGGTACTCCTTTATGTTAAAGGCTAACTTGATTCCAGGGCCATAGTGCGGCTGGAAGGATTAGGTAAATTGAAAAAATCCAATGACCTCATCGGGATTTGATCCCACAACCTTCTGGCTTGTAGCATGGTGCCTCAATCAAGTACGCTACCGTGTGCCCCCCAAATATAAACAGTACCAGGCTTTAATATACACTGGGAGCTCTTACATTTACAGTAGTGACCACTGGTCACCAATCAGGCTCTGCTATGTAACATAACAGGGCTAGTATTAGATAGCAAAGGTAGTTAAATGAAACAGTAATAAGTAAAAGACTAAAGAATAGGCAGACTGAGGGGTAGGGCTTATAAACCAGAGGAGTCTGCATGAAGTGAGTAGATCAGAAAGAAACAGAGCCAAAAAGGAAATTTATAATCAACAAGGCACACAATTTGGAGTAACCTGTCCCCAAACCATGACAGATTTCCCTAGCCACCCCTAGGATACCAACCAGTGATACTGTGATCAGTAAAGCAAGTTAGCAGCTCACAAGCCAAACCATGAGTTATTTCCCAGCACTCCTCAGTGCATTTACAAGTCCAACAGACAGTAAAGAGAAGAGATAGGCAGGATAAGTCTGAGTAGGAAGAAGGGAGGGAAAGCACAGGGTATCTAGGAAAGTGGTTACAGGTTGTTTCGTAAAATAGTATACTCTGAGCTGGGAATGCACAGCTCACATTGAAGCAGGCAGGGTTTATGAATGATTTAATGATCGGTTTCTGTTGCGTAATGTCCACTAGTACAAATTCTGAGTGCATTAATATGCCAAATTCATCATAATTTCATACTGTCATCAGTTTTATAATTTTAGCATATGAAAGAATGTTCCATGCATTATTTGTAGAGCAGTTTATGCTTTGTTTCTGTGTATAAATTTCGTATTTCCTGATTCTTTGGTTATTGCTGTTATACAAAAAGCTAATGTAGCTTTATGCAGCTACAAGATTATTTTTTTCTAATGCTGTCAGTATCTCGGACTGTATAGTGTTAAATGGTAGGGTGATAGATGAATAACAAGTTGGAAAGTATTTGAAAGGAAGCAGTAGTGGCTTAATCAAGGTGTAGTCCTGACATTTGCCTGGATGAACTGAGGAAAACCAAAAATAATCCCCAGCTGGTGTCTCAGCCAAGATTCAAATGGAGCACCTTCACAAATACAAGCCTGGAGCATTATCATTATACCATCCAATCTAATTGGTGTTCCACATTGTTATTTTGTGTGCTGCAAATATATGCTCTTTAAAAAAAATGCATATTTTTCAAGGATCTATAACCACACAATACCTTAGGACCTTGTGGTAAGCTAACGTGGCCAGCATGATATTGCTGGTGGAAAGTTAATTACAAATGTGCAGTGATCTGTAGTGAAATAAACTGTAACAGGCTGTGATCCACGTCTCCCAGGTTCTTCATTCAGTTCTTGTTTCTTGGTTTATTAACATGACTTATGAACTGCTGCTATGCAGGATCAAATGAAGAGATAACTGTAAATGATCAGCTGGTAATAATGTTGAAGAAAGTCTGTGTGGCTCATTTTGAGATAGCATTTGGCAATTCTCCTGGGGATCTAAGAAAATGACAGTAACTTTCATTAGAATTGGACATGAAGTGAGAATGTTGCCACAGTATCATGGCATTCAGTACAGTTGTTCTATCATATCCCAGACATGCTACATAATCACAACAGCTGATATAGGTTAACGTAACAGTATGATTCAAGACTTGTATTCGGGAGATACTTAGTTCATATTTTTACCACATTACTTGCTATGAGATTACCTCTGTCTTTTCATTCATGAGGATAGTACTCGTATTTTTAAATAGCCCATGATTTCCTCCTTCCAGATTCTAGCTACTCCCTATTCATAATCATCTCCCTATATCATTTGGTACTCTATGCCTTCTGTTGTTGAAATAGTGTTATTAAATAACCAATGTAACAAGCAAGTAAACTTAAGTAGAATTTGAGATACTCACAGGTGTGGCTATGAAGAGTCCTGTCATCTGAGATATAACGCCATGTAGTCCTGCTTGCCATCTGCTTTATGGCATGTTCTTGCTTGGCATACTCTTCAACTCTGAAGATGGAGGTAACATGTTCCTATGAAACATGGATCATCTTTGAATGGACTACATGCTGTTACATGTCAGAAGATAAAACTCTTCAAGCAAACTTGCAAAACTAATTTGTTGTGGATGTTGCAGCTCATTTGGTATTGGCCACAGCAGTGTTCTGAACAATTCAACAAGCAGCGCACAGTCAAAAAGCCCATCAGCATCATCACCTTACCCACCAAACCACCCTCTCAGTGGCTCAAAACACCTGTGCTCCATATGTGGGGACCGAGCCAGTGGGAAACACTATGGGGTGTACAGGTATGTGACATGTGAAACACTGAGGGTGAACTGAGACTGTGAGGGTGCTTAGCAGAGTGTTGGATGCAAAACGTGAAGCTGTATGGGTTTGGAGAAAATTGAATGTTCTCTGTCTCTCCCCCACCCCCCACCCCACCGCAGTGATTCTTTCTTTATTTAACACTGTTTGGGAAATGAAATCAAGGAAGACATGAGCAAAGAATGTAGCGTGCTTGAAGGAAACAACAAGTAATATGTAAAAATGTTGGATGGAAAGTTCATTTCAACTTGAGAAACCTAGGGAGAGATGCAAATAGGATGCTTCTAGGTGATGGGGAATATATACAGGTGTCATGGGAAGAGTCCACTTGGGAGGTCTTGAATCAGATTGGAGAGTAACATTACAGTGTGTTTTAGAGAAAAGGTACCAAGTTGAACTTGACTTGGGTCTCAGTGGCAGCCTTTCGTGGTGATAGTGATAAATTTCCTGTTACACCAGGTAATGTTGATCAGCTTAACAACTATTCGGTGCTGTTCAGTGCATATAAAATATGTCTGAAATTCTGTTTAGGCCATTATACAGCATGATTCACTCACAGAAGGCCTGCAGTTAATAACTGTAAGTCACACAATAATTTTCAGAGAATACAACACCTTACGCATATGTACATTGGTAGATATGGAGATAATTGTACTAAAGAAGAAGGTGAAATTGTTTTCCCTGTGCCTGGAGACACAAACTGACACAGTGCTCCCTCCATGTTCATGAATGATGCAGCCAGCATGGGTGAAGAGATTGCAGCAATAACAAGAACAGTACTAACTGGGCAGGAAGATACAGCATCAGTGTTGCAGTGTACACAGTGTTGCCAAGTTTCTTTTTTGTCAGTAAATAATTTCCTGGGTTATGATTATTAATGTGGAAAAAACAAAATTAATGAAAATTTCGAGACAAGCAACCCCAGTCACAATAAAGATAGACCAAAAACAACTGGAGAATGTGAAATGTTTTAAATATTTGGATACCTTGTTAACAGATGATGGAAGATGTACCTGTGAAATGAAATCTAGGATTGCCATGGCAAAAGCTGCATTTAGCAAGAAGAAGAATCTTTTTACCAGCAAATTGGACTTAAATTTCAGGAAGAAACTAGTGAAATGCTACATTTGGAGCATTGCTTTGTATGGGGCTGAAACTTGGACGCTTAGGGCAGTATATCAGAAACACCTGGAAAACTTCAAAATGTGGTGTTGGAGAAGGATGGAGAAGATCAGTTGGACAGATTATATGAGAAATGAAGAAGTGTTATTTAGAGTCAGTAAGCAGAGGAATATCCTACACAATATAAGAAAACGGAAGGCTAATTGGATTGGTCATATCTTATGCGGTAACTGCCTTCTAAAAGAAGTCATTGAAGAAAAGATAGAGGGGCGGATAGAAGTGACCAGAAGACGAGGAAGAAGACGTAAGAAAATGCTGGATGACCTTGGAGACAGAAGAGGATATTTTCATTTGAAGGAGAAAGCTCTAGATCGCATCAAGTGGAAGAAACTGTTTCGGAAGAGACTGTGGACCTGTCGTCTTGACAGATTACAGATGAATGAATGAATGATTATTAACTTAGGTTGTCCTCTCCAAGTTAGTCAGCCTATATAGAGCAGTACTTCATATTATCGATTTTGAATCATAATTCAAGTTGCTTAATAAACTTCCTAGAAGTCTGCATGTCTCTACTGTATTTAGTTTTATTAGTTTAAAGAGAGTTGTTTCATGCAGACTTAACATTCTGAATATCATATATAAAACATGTTTGAAAATGCAGCCGACTGCCTCTGTGGGCTAGTGGTCAAAGTTCCTGGCTACAGATACAGAGGTCCGGGTTCGATTCCCGGAAATAGCGGCTCCAGCGTAGAAAACCGAAAGTAACGGCCATGGGGTTTCATTGTGCTGACCATGCAACACCCTCTGTCCGCTAAAGTTGACACTAAAATTTGCCGACAAGTGGCAGTCGCTCAGTTGGTATAGTTTGGTTGCGGACTAAAATCACAGAGTTTGTTTGTTTGTTTTGAAAATGGAGCTGGAAAGCCCACATTTTATTTTGCCAGCAAATGGATTGACTGAGTCTTGAACCCAGTTTTGTGCGAAGCATGTGTTGGCTATGTGACAAGGTTGTCACATGGTTTTTTTCCAGAATAAATGAGAATCACTATCTGGAAGACTGTAGACTTTAGTAGCCATTTTGTGGCATGTGATAGATGACTCTATACTTCCAATTCTATGTATTTTAATGTAGGCACAAACTGGTCCATATTACTGGTGAGATTCTTTTCATTTTGGTTTCATAAAACCGCTCTTGATTTTATTGTTATTGCATCTGGCCATATTATTATCAACAATGTTCATATAAATACTTGTTCCTGTTGCCCATCACCGTTCTTGGTGGTAAGTTTTGAGAAGATTAACATATTTTCACCCTGATTAGGACTGAGATTTTAGTGGTATGACCTTTATGCCTTGACCATGTCACTATCAAAGTGTTGACCTTGGGATTTCCATAAAAATTTACCAGCAGAGGTTACATTCATCAGAACTGTCCAGCCATAGTTCCTAGAGTTCCACTATGTTTCCACATGGTTGCCTTCATGTGGCTGTGATGCAACTTGCCTGGAGGCACGTGCCATGATAGACAGTTCCCCACCCCATGATGCACACACCCTTATCCTCCATGAGTTAAGTTCTACCTTCTTTCCCCTCCTTCCCCTGTGCACAAAGTAGTTGAACTTGTTCTGATGATAACAGAAATAATCATATAACAGTTTAAATCAAGTTACTAATCTTACCTGACTGTGCTATGTCCATGGTAAGGGGGCTTCCTTGAGAAGTCCATAGTTATTCAATGCAACTGTTCTTTTAAATTTCTCTTCACTTGTCACCACTTACCTTAGTGACTCTGAGGCTGCCCCACCTCTCTTTCCTCATTTACTAAGCGGCCTCCGTAGTCTAGAGGTAACGTTCTCACCTCATGAGACTCGTAGTACGCGGGTTCAAATACCCGGCGGAGGTTGTCGAATTTTTAAGGCCGGAAAAATTCAAGGAACAAGTCCTCCGGGAGGGCGCGTAAAAGAACCTCATATCTCCAGAGGAGGTCACTGAGCCAAATTATGGACGTTTCCCGCCCAACAGCAGTCTCTAATACCTCTGGTAGATGGGGGAAGCATTATAGATACCTCTCAGCTAGTAGAGCCGGTCTCGCTGGCTGGGCGGGACTGATGGTAAGCACCAGTACCGGTAGGATATAGAGACTGGTAGAAATCATAGAGGGAAGCACAATGGACCAATACAGGTCTAAGTGCATGGGGAAACCCACCCTCTCCAATAACTAACTAACCAACTAACTACTCACTTACTACACTGTTAATTTTGGGCCCAGTAACCACAGATCGGGGCACGCAGTAGCATAGTGGTTAAGGCACTATGCTACAAGCCAGAAGGTCACAAGTTCAGGTCCCGATGAGGTCATTGGATTTTTTCAATTGACCTAATCCTTCCAGCCGCACTATGGCCCTGGGGTTCACTCAGCCTCTAACAGAAATGAGTACCAGGAATTAATTAAATAATTTTCCTGGGGAGTAAAGCGTGGCCAGCGCATAAGGCTGACAACCTTACCGCCCTCTTTGAGCCGATTGTCTAGAAAATGTGGGACCCTCAGCGTCTCACAACCCTATGGGCCTTCACGGCCTGGTACAGGGATAGCTTTACTTTTACTTTTTTTAACCACAGATCATGGATGGGTGGCTGCAATTATGATTAGGATTTCAGGATACAGGAATATGGGGAAACCAGGTAATTTAGTGGGAATGAAATTCCATATCAAATAAGGGTTTCGATGAGGGAGTATGTGGTCTTGTATAACAGAAGGCAACTCAGGTATGTGACTATTCTAATTGCAAATGAATCAGTGTTGGCAGAACACAACACAGTTTAACTTTGGAGCACAACATTAGTTATAACTCTGATAACTCAGTTGCAATCAAGCAATAACTGTTAAATACAAAATATCATTAGATATTACGTGGAAAGTTGAGTAATAAAGTAAGTAAAGTAAAGGTATCCCTGTAACAGACCATGGAGGCCCACAGGGTTGTGAGATGTTGAGGTTCCCACATTCTCTAGACAATCGGCTCATAGATGGCGGCAAGGTTGTCAGCCCTACACACCAGCTGCCCTTTACCCGAATATTCTTGGGGGTAAAGGATGGCCGGTGCGTAGGGCTGACAACCTTGCCGCCATCTATGAGCCGATTGTCTAGAGAATGTGGGAACCTCAACATCTCACAACCCTGTGGGCCTCCACGGCCTGTTACAAGGAAAGTTGAGTAATAAGTTTCCTAACTTTATTATTTCACAATAGTTGCAATTATAAATTATTTTTCAGAATTAAATGTATTTCTCTTAAGCCTTATTAAAGTTAATTGGTAAACAGTTATTTCTGATGATGGGTGACATTTTATCGTATGGGTCTAGGATGCAACTCTGTCTGGAAGGGCACTTGTGTCATGAAAATGAATTTGGTATTTTAGAGTCCGTTTTTAGATTTACAGAATTCTTCTCCATGATTGGGCTGCAACTGTTATAAGCAAATATGCTATTGGCTGACTAATTAAGATTACAGGGTCTTAAAAATGGGGTCCAAGAAATCTCCAATACCAGGTGTGGAATCGTGACCAGTGGTCAACTGTAGCTTGATGTGAGGTGAAAATNGGGGGGGGGGGGCATAAATCCTGTCCACTTCTGAAAACTGATGTCTGTTTCCTGCCTAAGTTACACTATCTGATTTCTGCCATTTCTGAAGCCAATCTCCTAGATTTTTTTTTTTTTTTTTTCCAAATTACAAGTTCATTGTAGAGCTTAGGACACCAGGGGATTGTTCTGAACAGAAGTTCAGAAGAAACTAGGGTTGCTTCTGGCCTGAGCACTCCATCTGCCACTTTCCAAATTCTGCAAAGAGAAAGGAGTACAAA